TGTCTTTTTTCTGCGTGTGTGTGTGTGTGTGCGCGCGTGATATTATTTTTTCAATAACACGTAGTTCTCAATTAGTTTATACTCGGAAATGTACGTATATATAAAAATACGAACACAGATACATACAATCGTACACACGTACAAGCAAACACACCAACATTCAGAAGTGTTGTTTTTTATACCGATAGACGGATAGACAGACAGACAGACAGATAAACAGACAAACAGACAATTTTTCAACTCACAAAAGTGCTCTTGTTTTTGTTAGGCGCTTTGTAAAGACACTCCACGATGAAGCTGTCGCCCTGAGTTTGGTGGTCTTGGTCATGGTGGCCGGGTAGAGGATGTCATCGTGCTCTCTGTCGTCACCTCCGGCCTCCAGCAACAAGACAGAGACATCCGGGTCCTCGGACAGACGGTTGGTCAACGATAATATGGCACCAGAGGAACCTTAGCCCACTGGGGGAGACAGAGGGAGGGGGGGGGAGGGTGATTGAAGGATTGGTCAACACGGCGCCAGCGGCACCTGAGCCCCCTGGGAAAGAGGAGAAACCCGAGATATGGTCACTCATAATTGACCCTGAAAAATCAGGCTTGGCAAAATTGTGCGAAACCCTAGAAACGTAAAAGTGTGTTCAACATTGGTGGAATGGACTTGTATTGAATGTCAAATGAAAAAAGTATATCATTGTATCTGCAATAAACAACATCTTCTGCGGTGATATTTTCGAATAGATTGGAAAACAGAGCAGTTACAAATATCACGCAAAACCTGGACGTTAAGTTACACGTGTCCATTAGTTTTAGTTTTGATTTTGTTTAAGAGCTATTGTTTTCATGTCGAGCATGAAACAGTTTTTGCACATTGGACTGTGTTTGCTAGATTTGTTAATTATCTGTCAGTGGGGAAAAGGGCACGAAACTGCCAAGGGGTAGATCTAGAAGCAGAATGAACAAAACCACCCTCGTGAGAATCACCGAATGTCTTGGTTCAGTGGACTACATCGCGCAAGTGTTTATTTTCATCATAGTGTCATTCAAGTTGACATCTCCATGCCTAGCAAAGAATTTTCTCACAGGGCCATTGCCAGTAGACAATTCTTGGAAATCCAAATCAGATCATTGGGGGCGGACACCAGTAAATAACCCTTACATGAATCCTCCAGGTATGTGAAGTCCTATGAAACAGCAGCAGAAGAAAAACAGCTTTGCTCCGAATTCAGACCCCTTTTTTACATCTCTTTGTGACATCTGGGTTGAAATGACATAATATAATTGTGTCCAAACTTTAATAGAGTTAATGCGCAAAGGGTTCGTACCCTAAACAAACCCAACGGCAAAATAACAGTGAGCACATTTATTGTTATGTCCAAATGTTGTTTTGTGATCGTTTTTGCTCTGATTTCCGTTTAGTTTGAAACTCTCGTGACAAAGTATCGTAATAAAATATTGTTTATTGCAGAGACAAATTTCTCCGTTCATTGATTATGCAATGTATGTCCATACTATAAATAGTGATGCTCCTCAGTACACGCACGAAGACAGTTTTACGTTTCTTTGATTTAGCACAATTTTGCCAAGCTTGATTTCTAAAAGGTCAATTTTGAGTGACCATATCTCGGGTTTTCTTAACATAGATGAAATATTAATGTGTCAGATGATGCAGAACTTATTGCGCTTAGCAGGTAGTACAAGGCTATAACACGATGATTGGGTGATTACATTTTCAAGTTTCTGTTTTTGCGCCACTGTATAATATCAATGTTTTGGCTGTATTGACGTATTGTTCAGGGATATGGAAAACAAACAAAGCAAGTTGACGAAAACTAAAAAGCTTCCAAGACAAAAGAGCCATTTGCAGAGCGCTACAGACAGAAACAATCAGTGGTTCCGTTATCTCTCTCACGTGTAATTGAACACAAAGTCAGAGACTCATAAGTCACAAGTGTACATATTAAGTTGATTGTGCTTCACGTCCTAGCTTTCTTTCCTCGTTGATCAATGTCATGGTTCTCTGTGATGGTTTTGTCACGCGTGTTATTTGACCTCAGCCCCTGCTTGCTAAGTGTTTCCAACCCTTACATATTTACTTACAGAAGCACCAGTTGTTCTTGCTAAAGTTATCTTTAGCCAATGTTGCTCGATCTATTAATTTATTGTTTTAGTGCCTTTTTCTTTTCTTTTTTTTAGAGGGGGGGGGGGGGTATTTTATGTCTATGCTTTCTGTTTCTGTGTTCTTTTTGTTTGTTGGCAAAAAGAGTTTGTGGCCTAATGCCACTAATTGTGTCAAGGTCACGGCTTTTGATACTACGAAGGCTTCAAAGTACAATGTTTTGCAGAAGAGATAGAACATTGTACTATGTATTTGTAGGTTTCACAATTCTGGTATACAAAGAATAAAATAGTTATAGGCCTCCACATCTGCAGGGTTGGCCTACCATAGAAAACTAAATCTCCCCCCGACGTTCAACAGCAACAGAGAACGAAAATAAAGAAAGTAGCTTTAAAAACATTTAGACCTTTAAAGGGCTTTGAAGCACTATAATCTATTTTTTACTCTTTAACGAAAAAACGTATCAGACAGACACGATATTATTGCAATATAGTTGTCTAAGGATGAGTTAACGTCGCCGGGGGAGTGAAAAAAAAGGAACTCATCCGAAGCGCAACTTAACCCGCTGGGACCTGTAAGGAAGTAGACTAGGTGCTGGGGCCTGAGAAAAAGATCAACTTAACCAAAGACCAACCCAAGCGAGTTGACCACAAGCGGAGTCCACTGTATGTCCCATCAGCAGAAGAATGAGAGCAAGTTCGCGCCACATTTCGACCCCTTCATTTAAAAAAAATCAGAAATGCGAAAGTGCAAATTATTTTGTCAAGGCTTGCTTGTCGTTGCCTGACCTTTCTTCATTCAGTTTCAGATAAAGAAAGCAGAACTTTTAAAACGTGTTTGAAGAAGCAAGTTATGCAAGGCATGCAAATCGCTACCTCAGATTTACAAAGCTGTACCTGACATTTTTGGCCCATTTTTAGTTAATAAGACCACGAGGTCAGAAATCAAATGTTCTATCTGCTGCTCTATCAAAACTAAACTGTAAGATTATTCGGAATTGTTATCAAGATATTCAAAGAATTGCATTCAAAAAAGCTTGACATGTTGTAAAACTCCAACATTTTTACGTCAAATTTTTTCCACTCTAGGTACTGAACAGATAGAACTTTGTAATTCTGAGGTGGCATAATGACCAAAATAATAATGTACACACTGAATGGGTTATGATAATTCTTTTTTGTGATATGTGTCACAACATGGTGGCAACCGGCGTCCGTCAAATTTTTGGCATACGGATTACAGGTATTATCTTACGGTATTCATTTGCCTTGCTTTAGATGACAAAATCTACTCATGCAAATTGAAAAGAGGTTGAGATTTTTGCGATTGAAGAAGGTGGGCTCGTTAAGTGTTAAAGTAAAGTTGGTGAGGAAATGAGAAAATGGAAACCAATATTTGGTAACTTCCAAACCTCAAGTGTCCTTGGAAACTGAAAATATAACTTTTCTTGTTCCCTTTATCGAGATCGAAGTTTTTGAGTGAAATCCACACCGGCGTGTTTTTAAGTGGCCATAAAATGTGTTGAGCAAAAGAAAGAAAAAAGGAAGAGAAAAAGAAAAAGAAAAAAAAAAGGAAGAGAGAAAGGAAAAGAAATTTCTTTGGGATATAGACCTGTAAACACCAACATCACTTCCTTTAAAAGTTTTCAAAAATAGTGTAAGAACATATTTTACTCACCCACGATGTAGTCATAG